GTTTGACATCATTTGGCTGAGGAGGCCAGTACTTTCTCTTAAGCAAACAAGTTCAGTTGTTAAAATCCAGAAATTATTCTAGAATGTGTTTACTATATTCTTAGCACAAAATCACAGATATTAAAAATATGAAATAATTTTTCTGTGTATATTTTAATGAAAGCCAAAATTATCAATATTTTTAAATGAATAAGCCATATTGATTCATGTATATTTGTCAAATACTCTTGTTACTCTCTCACCTCAAATTAATATGCATAACGAGCAGACAGGGAATTTACCATTATCTGTTACATTAATAGACATTTTATTTAAATACAGATATATGAACACATAATACCAAGTGTATATATATTTTTTAAATATATTTTATTAATTATGCCATTACAGTTGTCCCATTTCCCCCTTCATTCTCCTCCCCTCTGCACACCCCTCCCCCATCCCCCCTTTAGTTTATGTCCACGTGTCTCAAGTTATTTAGATTCTATACTTCCCATACTATTCTTGCCCTCCCCCCTATTTTCTACCTACCATCTATGCTTCTTATTCTCTGTACCTTCTCCCCTTTTCTTCTCCTTCCACTCCCCTGTTGCTAACCCTGCATGTGATCTCCATTTCTATGGTTCTGCTCCTGATCTAGCTGTCCTCTCAGTTTGCTTTTGTTTTAGGTGTGGTTCTTAATAACTGTGACTTTGCTGTCCTCTCACTGTTCACATTTTTATCTTCTTTTTCTTAGATAAGTCCCTTTAACATTTCATATAATAAGGGCTTGGTGATGATGAACTCCTTGAATTTGATCTTCTCTGAAAAGCACTTTATCTGTCCTTCCATTCTAAATGAAAGCTTTGCTGGATAGAGCAATCTTGGTTGTAGGTCTTTGGATTTCATGACTTGGAATACTTCTTTCCAGCCCCTTCTTGCCTGGAAGGTCTCTTTTGAGAAATCCGCTGACAGTCTGATGGGAACTCCTTTGTAGGTGACTGTCCCCTTATCTCTTGCTACTTCTAGAATTCTCTCCTTCATTTTAATCTTGGCTAATGTAATGATGATGTGCCTTGGTATGTTTCTCTTTGGGTCCACCTTCTCTGGGACTCTCTGAGCTTCCTGGACTTCCTGGAAGTCTATTTCCTTTGCCAGATTGGGGAAGTTCTTCTTTATTATTTGTTCAGATCTTCCTCTTCCCCTTCTGGTACCCCTATAATTCAGATGTTGGAACAATTAAATATGTCCTGGATGTTTTAAAGCCTTTTCTCATTTTTTTAAATTCTTATTTCTTCATTCTTTTCTGTTTGGTTGTTTCTTCCTTCTGGCCCACTCCATTGATTCGAGTCCCAGTTTTGTTTCCATCACTATTGGTTCCCTGTGCATTTTGCTTCATTTCACTTAGTGAAGCCTTCATTTTTTCATCTAATTTGCAACTAAAATCAACCAGTTCTGTGAGCATCCTGATCACCAGTCGTTTGAACTGTGCATCTGATAGATTGGCTATTTCTTGGTCTCTTAGAAGTATTGGCTCTGGGGCTCTGAGCTGTTCTTCTTGAGCCATAATGTTTTGGTCTGTTCATGCCTGTTACATGTGAGGGGCAGAGCCTTAGGTGTTCACCAGGGTGGGTCAACTCAGTGGCTGGGTTGTGACGCTGTCTGTGGGGACGGGGTCGGAGAGGGAGCAATGGCATTTGTTCCGCTCTCTCTCGCAGATTTCAATCCCCTCTGCTGCTTCCCACAGGCAAATTGGGCCCTTCTGGTGCTGGTTCCCAGGCAGGTGGGTATGTGTACATTCTAGGACCCTGTGGGTCTCTCCAACGAACTTCCTGTGAGGCTGGGAGCCTCTCCTGGCACCTCAATACCTGTAAGTGTTTCTAATTGGTGCTTTTAGGCTTTATTTCCTGTCGCTGGGGCCCTGTGTTGCGAGGTCTGCCTCACTGCTGGTTTTTTGCCTGATTTATGTGCATGTGAATGTGTATCCACAGTCAGCCAACCACCTTGTGCACCTCACTGGGTTTGCTGGTTTCCTCCCCCAGGTGCGCCAACCATCACCTTTTCCTGCTGTGACCCCTGTCCACCCGCCACCGACTCCACCTCTCTTACTGGTCTGGATAAATGGTTCGTTGTTCAATTTTCTGTCTGTTCTGGTTGTGTTGTTGTTTCTAAATCTTTGTTGTCCTTAAATTTGGTTGTGGGAGGAGGTACACTATTTCCACCTACGCCCCCACCTTGGCCAGAAATCCAAGAGTATAGTTCTTAATCAGCAACATGTTTTCCACATTTGAAATTTCATTTTGAGTTTATTTGAATTCTTACAGTTCTTTTTTGGTTAATTGTTTGAGGTCAAGTTTCCTATAAATTACAGTACCACAGTTTTGATCTGTACTTTTAATTGTAAGTTCTTCAAATTATTACAGAATGGTGATATGTATTTTCAGAGGTGGCCCACCTGTAAGATAGCTTCATTGTCTTTTAGGAGATAAACACCTCAAAAAAAAAAAAAGTCAAGACATTTTGACTTGAAATGTTGGCATTCAGAATACACTTTTGCTTTTAAGAAATATTGAGATTGCTAGTCTTGCTACTCAGAATAAATCCTATCCAGACCATCTCTCTGGGATCCTAAAACTTTGAGTTCTATCAGAACATTAGAAATTATTGTGAAGAACAGATATTTGAATAGAAGACAGGATAATATTCCCTCTATTTTTGTGTAATCTGCTGTGTAAAAGTATCTGCTGTATGGTCTATTTTGATAATTATTAATTCACTGTTAAAATTGATCCTAAGCCACCTACTCTGAAAAGGGAACTTCATGATATATAAGATGGGGTGAATCAGTTCACCAACTCAAGAGAACAAGAATTTCTTTGTATTTCTGTAACTGTATTTAATTGCTATATGAGCACTACTGCATGAAGGGCATGAATTAAATCACAGACAGTTTCAGTCTCCTCAAAACATCCCCCCATATTTTCTCTAGGTTTGTATCTGGGTCCCAGGCACCAGGGACAGGGCCATCCTGTCCCTTAACAGGCTTCTGTTCACACAGGAGACTGCCAGGATGTCCTCATTCCTATCACATCCTGGTGATGGTCTTGCAGAAAACTGCCACACCCTTCACAAGCACCTCATGGTCTTCTGAATTGGTAACTGTGTTGGAAACACCTGGCTCTAGAGTGAAGAACTCTCAGGCTATCTCAAGCCCGCCTGCCTAGACACAGCACATAGATATTTGTACTCAGTGCTTTTGAGTCACTCTGAGTTTGCAAGAAGGAAAATGTTTCCCAGGTTTGCTGATACTATAAGTCATACTGGGATTCTGGCACTCCCTAGCTTGCCTTCTCTAGCATTTGACTGGGCTGATATGAGGAAAGAGAGCAGTTTCCTCTCATGGACACTAATTTCCTCTACCTCAATTCCAGAGGGTAACTGGGCTCTTTCTCAATCATTTATTTGTAGGATATGTTGGATTAAAGATGGTGGCTTTTCTTCCAGAGAGAAGTGGGCTGTAATTCCCCTTTCTTGAATCTAGGCTGACCTCTGTGACTAATTTGAAACCTATAGACTATGACAATAATACAGTGCAACTTTTGAAAAGTAGAACAGAAGAAGGCTTGCAGGTTCTGCTTTTGGTCTCAGAACATTCACTCTCCAGATGCTTCCTCTCAGAACGAGTCACCGTGCTGTGAGAAGCCCAAGCGACACAGAGAGGCCATGGGTAGGTACTTTATAGTCAAGATCCCAGCTGTGCTTGTAGCCATATGGGGGAGCCACCATGCGCGATTGGTCTAGTAGATTCTTTAGCTGACTCCTGCCCTAGCCGGCATCTGTATGAAAGACCCCACAAGAACCGCTCAGCTGAACCCTTCCCGATTCCTAAGCCACAAAATTGTGAGCAAAATTAAATGACTGTTTTAAGCTGCTAACAACAAACAAACAAATAAAACCTTTTTTTAAAAGTCATAACTATGCCTAAAAATAAAGTGGCAATTTGAGACAAAATCATTTTGGTTTCAGAATTATTGCTGTGACAGAGAGTGAGAGAGAGAGAGAGGGGGTGGCAGGGTGGGGGGAGAATGAATATCTACCTGCTCCCGAGGAGGAGTTTTGGCTTAAATCACCCTCCTTCCCAACCTCTTTCATTAATAATTGAACATTTAAATGTCAAAGATGATTTGCGTATACACAGAAGACACTAAAATGAAAAAAAAAAAAGAACAGAGCCCTGGCTGGTGTGGCTCAGTGGACTGAGCGCGGGCCTGCGAACCACACAAACGTGGTTCAATTCCCAGTCAGGGCACATGCCTGGGTTGCAGGCCAGTTCCCAGCAGGGGACGCATGAGAGGCAACCATACATTGATATTTCTTTCCTTCTCTCTTTGTCTTCCCATTTAAAGATAAATAAAATCTTTTAAAAAAAAGAACATATTTAACGCAGTACACCTTTTATTTGAATACTGAGTACATTCTTTTAGTACAGAGTGTTTGAAAATGAGTTTTTTAAAGAAAAATAACATTGGCACCAATACAATGAAAATGGAAAAACATAATTTCTAATATAGTAGAAATGACATATAGATACATTAGCATTCTGTAAAGCCCAATTAGGGCATTCCATTATCTGATATGCTGGGGTTTCATTTACACTTACTTCAGAAGGTATTGGAAATTGTTGAAAAACACCTCACACATAAAACTAAACACAGCAAAATTAATGACTGTATCACAATTTATTAAATATCTTTAACGAAAACAGTACCTGACAATTAGAAAACAAAGTTTTGTTAAAAAAACCAAAACTTCAGACTAGTGTACATATCAGAGGTAACAGTTTCTTTTGCTTCTAATATTAAACAAGATACTTAATATTCCACATTGAAATTTATCTTCAGAGTTCCAAAAGTGTGTTCTGCCCATTAGTGTAGATGACATGCATTTAGCTTTTGCTTCTCCCGGATTCTCAGAGCAGCAGGAAGACAAGTCTCAGAATCATCATGAGGCTGGATGAAGAGAAAAAGGCAAAAGGAGGGGGGCTCGTAGGGGGGGTGAGGAGAGGGTCGGGGGCAGACGGAAAGGGCTGCGTCTCCTCACCAGGGGCAACCCAGCTCTGGCTCCCAGGCTTCTCGCTCCCTGATTCCGCTTCAGGAGCAGGGGGGTCCCATTATCCCTGTACTCATACTTCCCAGATATGACTGAACAGCCACTTAAAAATGTTCACTCAATGAATGAGAACAATCAGAACTCGCTGTTCTACTCGCTGTTCTTAAGATCTCGGAGGAAGCTTTATGAAAGAAAGCTTTCAAAAGAAATACAAAACTTTTAAAAGGTTGCAAAGTAAAGCAAGTTGCAAAAATAATCCTGGAACAATTTTGAGGGGTTGTTATTCCCACCTCAGCTACTCTTCACTGACTGGGGACTTGACTTTTTTTTTCTCTTTAATAAACATGTTTCATTTGTTTTCCTTATACCATCAGAACTGAAACTACTGATTAATTTCCCTCATTTTCCTAAAATAGGGAAATTAATCTAAAACACATAGTGGTGCTTTTCAGAAGATAGCAATTTAAAAGGCATTTGATATCTTTGAGGTCTTGTCTTTTTGATCCACAAACCCTACTTCTGATTATTTCCACCATAATGATCATTTTCAGACAGGCCTAAAACTGGAAAGCAGTCTCTGTAATCACATTTTTCTTCCCCGAATCACAAGCACAAACATAGCCACAGTGGAAAATTCTATAGAGCAGAAAAAGAAAATTACTCATTATGCCGCCACCCAGAGACAAACTTGAATCATTTGAGGTATTTCCCTTTCCAACTTGGCTTTTTATATATAAACTTTTAAAAACTGAGATTACACTATATTTGGTTGTTTTTTTGTCCTTTAAAAAAACCTCTCTTCTTATGTTATTAAGGTTTTCCAGTGCCACTAAACAGTTTTTGAAACCATGACATGTGAAGCCTACTCAATATTCCTTTAGGTGGACAAAACATTTACTGAAACATTTCCTTACTGAATTTTTTAGGTTTTTAATTTTTTTAGTTTATCATGTTTTGCATTAGGAATAAAATTGCAATAAACATCAGTCATTGGATACATCTCATTATTTCCTCAGAATAAATTCCAAAAATCAAAAATGTTTATCAAAGGAAATGAACATTTATGGCTTTTAGTATATAAGGGCAGCTTTTAGGAAGAATTAAAATGTAACCTATAGACTTTTTCTTGGTAACGTGATTAATATCATGGATAGAATGACTGGAATCAAATTAAGAGAAACTTGAGGTTCCCTATTCGTCTATTTTTAAAAAGTGTTTTTTCCCCTAAAAACTCAGAACAACTATCACACTGCCACTGTGTCCTACTCCCTAAGAGAGAATGAGCTTCAGATTTAAATGAATACATTCACTGCCTCAGTAGGGTAACTGCTGAGGAACAACAAGGTTTAACTTAGTTCTTCATTCTGACAAAGGTAAAATGTACATGTGATCACACACTACAGCAACACTAAGTGGGCACAATAAAAATGTCCATGTGGCCCTGGCTGGTGTGGCTCAGTGGACTGAGCACAGGCCTGTGAACCAAAGGGTCGCAGTTCGATTCCCAGTCAGGGCACATGCCTGGGTTGCAGGCCAGTTCCCAGCAGGGGTGTGTGAGAGGCAACTACGCACTAATGTTTGTCTCCCTCTCTCCTTCCCTCCCTTTCTAAAAATAAATAAATAAAATCTTTTTTAAAAAGTCCATGTGCATATCAGTACCAAAGACTGGCTGAATGCAGATAGTTTAAGGTTTCACAGTCATGCTTATTGAATAAAAAATACCTTGACATTTCAAGTTAAAACTGACTTTTGCCAAAAATTCAGCACTTCAAAATGATGGCAGAAGAAAATAAATCAAAATAGTTTCTCTTGCCCTGGATGGTATGGCTCAATGGATTGAGCACTGGCCTGTGAACTGAGGGGTCACCGGTTTGATTCTGGGTCAGGGAACATGACTGGGTTGCAGGTTGGATCCCTGGTTGGGAACGTGTGAGAAGTAACCAATTGATCTTTGTTTCTCACATCACTGTTTCTCTCGCTCTTTTTCTCCCTCTCTTCCCTCTTACTTACCTTAAGCCTGCAACTAGCCCAGCTGGCATTATTTTCTTGGATCTCTTAAACCTCACACCCATTATGGTGGCCAGAAAGAAAGCTGTAACTGAAAAACAAACCAATGTATGAACTGGAGTTTCAAACATATTGTCAATGCTTGCTTGTGGAAAAAAAAAAAGGGTGTCATTTCAGCTTTTTTTTTCTTTTTAAATATATTTTATTGATTATGCCATTACAGTTGTTCTATTTCCCCCCTTCATTCCCCTCCACCCTGCACACCCCCTCCCCCGCCATTCCCCCCTTTAGTTTATGACGTCTCTCAAGTTCTTTAGATTCTATATTTCCCCTACTATTCTTGCCCTCCCCCTATCTATTTTCTACCTACTGTCTATGCTACTTATTTTCTGTACCTTCTCCCCTCTTCTCCTTCTCTCACTCCCCTGTTGCTAACCTTCAATGTGATCTCCATTTCTATGGTTCTGCTCCTGATCTAGCTGTCCTTTTAGTTTGCTTTTGTTTTAGGTGTGGTTCTTAATAACTGTGAGTTTGCTGTCCTCTCACTGTTCATCTTTTTTTTCTTAGGTAAGTCCCTTTAACATTTCATATAATAAGGGCTTGGTAATGATGAACTCCTTGAATTTGATCTTCTCTGAGAAGCACTTTATCTGCCCTTCCATTCTAAATGAAAACTTTGCTGGATAGAGCAATCTTGGTTGTAGGTCTTTGGATTTCATGACCTGGAATACCTCTTTCCAGCCCCTTCTTGCCTGTAAGGTCTCTTTTGAGAATTCGGCTGACAGTCTGATGGGGACTCCTTTGTAGGTGACTGTCCCCTTATCTCTTGCTGCTTCTAGGATTCTCTCTTTCATTTTAATCTTGGCTAATGTAATTATGATATGCCTTGGTGTATTTCTTCTTGGGTCCAACTTCTTTGGGACTCTCTAAGCTTCCTGGATTTCCAGGAAGTCTATTTCCTTTGCCAGATTGGGGAAATTCTCCTTTATTATTTGTTCAAATAAGTTTTCCACTGGTGGCTATTCCTTTCCCCCTTCCAGTACCCCTATAATTCAGATGTTGGAGCATTTAAAGATGTCCTGAAGATTCCTTAGCCTCTTCTCATTTTTTAAAATTCTTGTTTCTTCATATTTTTCTGTTCGGTCGTTTTTTTCCTCTTTCTGGTCCACTTCTTTGATTTGAGTCCCAATTTCCTTTCCATCACTATTTCCTTTCCTGGGCATTACCATTCATTTCAATTAGTTTAGCTTTCATATGTTCCTCTAATTTGTGACTAAAATCAACCAGTTCTGTGAGCATCCTGATCACCAGTGTTTTGAACTGTGCCTCTGATAGGTTGGCAATTTCTTGTTCGCTTGTATTTATTGGCTCTGGGGCTCTGAGTTCTTCTTGAGCCATAATGTTTTGCTCTGTTCGTGCCTGTTACGTATGAGGAGGGGAGCCTTAGGTGTTTGCCAGGGCAGGGCCACCTAGGTCCCTGGTTTGTGACACTGTATGTGGGGGCGGGGTCAGAGAGGGAGTAATAGCGGTCCCCTCTGCTCCTTCCCGCTGCTGGGGCCTGCCCTGTCTGTCTCACTCCTCGCTCCTTCGCTGGTTTATCTGCGTGCAAATGTGTGACCGAGGTCAGCCCGCGGCCTTGCACCTTCACTGGGTCCGCCTGTTGCTACCCCCACATCTGGGATCCACCCTTGGCTGCCTGCACGCCTGGGTCGGGGATCTTTTTTGCCCAACCCACTCCACTGCTGGCTCCACCCCTTAATGGTTTAGCTGAGTGTTTCGTTGTTGTCAGACTCCTGTATTGTTCAATTTTCTGTGGTTTGGCTGCGTTTTTTGTTGCTAAAACTTTGTTGTTTTTAGACTTGGTTGTGTGAGAAGGTATAGTGTTTCCACGTACACCTCCATCTTGGCAGAAGTCCTCAGCTTTCTAATGTAACAACTATTATACACAGGTACTAAGCTGCCATTTTCTTCAAATAATGAAGCGTTCTATGAAAACACTTTAGCTCGTCACAAAGGTTTGAGTAAATTAGCATGTTAAAACCCATTCTTGAAATGTCTTTTAAAAGGAAGTCTCTTCTCACTTAAATTTTTATTTATAGAATACTCCTGGCAGACTAGGACTGCAGTCTAATCCAACTCTCCTCAGGAACTCTGGGCCGTACACCTGAGCCCACAGGATCCACTCAGTCAGTGTTCAGGTAACTGAATGTAAAGAAAATAATTAGTATCTTTTTCTAAAGTAAGACCTAATTAATAAAATAATACTATTTCAGTATTAGGAAGAAGGTTGACAGTTTTTATTTTCCAGCATTCCACTTTGGGAAATTTGATGCCTGGAGACTAAATAACAACAGACTAAGTAATAATATTAAATTTAGAAGCATTGTATCAGCTACCCCCATTCGGTTCTCCATTGCTGGGGAAGATGCCTTACTTACACAGAGATACTTTAACATCTCTCCTGTCATTGGAGACGCGGTAAGCTCCATAGCCAGCCAAAAGTCCAACAGAAAGACCAGCAATCAAAGATGGAACACCACCTTGGGGGAAAAAAGTATGGGCTCAGAAAGAGAATCACAAAATGAAAGGAATTACTTGGAGTATAGTACATGCACATATAAATGTATTTGTATTTGGGCACTGTAACTGGACAAAGCCGAACTGAGTATCAGCCTATTCATGGGTAGTTTGTAAGAAATGACTGCTTCATGCTGAACTCTAGATGTAAGGCAGACAACCCCTGAATGCACAGTAATGCAGTGTTAGGCACCACTTCAGGGAATATAAAAGTCTCCCTTAGAGTAGTGGTTCTGACTTTGATGGCATGACCTTGGGCAATCAGTTGACTTCTTAGGACCCTCTCTGTTTTCTTCCTATTCTCCTTGTCTCCATCTTTCTACTGTGAGGTTGTGATGATAAAAGTAGGGTGCAGGGTATTTTTAGCTTGTAGGGTTGGAGACAGAAGTGCTACACGAACCAAGTGCTGGTTCTACCCTGAAGAGTTAGCAAACCTTCCAGCCTCTAGACATCAGGACTCGGGGATGGCAACGACACTGAGAAATGGGGAGAAACAGGGCACTGATGCAGCCAGCCAGCCAGCCCGACCCTCCTGCCCACGGCACCAGGGCACCGGGACCAACTCTGAGCACTTTCTGCACACTGGGCTACATGCCAGTGATGCTGAACATGACACACACTCTTCTTGCTGCATGGGAGTCACCCTATTTACAATCTGCTGGATTGGAATATCCAGGGGTACAGTCATGGTAGCTTTATTTTAAAAATATCTAGGAATTCATATTGCAACCAGGGTTAAGAACCATTGCAGCAATACACACACACACACACACGCACGCACGCACGCACACACACACGCACATACCAATAGCAGCAGTAGCAGCATCCTGAAAGAGAAGCCAAATACCTTACATTCTAAACCAAATTCTTTCACTTATTGCCAGAAGGTCTTCGGCTACGTCACTTGGCCTCTCTGAGTTTTATCAGTAGCAAAAACTGGGTTAATAATATCATCCATGTCAAATATATAAAGGTGTAGAACGTTACAGTTGGAAATAATATTAAATTTCTCATTGCTCTCCCTACACCCCCCAAATCTATTCTCTAAACACAGTAATATGATCTTTTAAAAACATACATCTAGACAGGTCACCCCGTCTAATTAAAAGCTCTCAGTACTTCCCATTGCCCTTAGGAAAACCCAAGTTTACTCTATTATTGGAGCTCTGATCTCCTTACATTCCCTGAATATGCCAAAGTCTTTATTCCTTACGGCTTTCACACATGCTGTTCCTTGCCTGGACTGCTCTTCCCTGCAGTGTTCACCTGGCCAACTGCACTCACCTTTGGATGTTAAGTGTTGGCTCCTCAGAGATGCCTTCTCTGACCCACCATTCTGAATGAGGGGCCCATTTGAGTCTCCCGCTGTTCATCATCAGATACATAATGTCAGTCTTCCCCCCAGCTTCAGTGGCGACTGCCACGTCTGTTTTGCTTACTGCTGTCTTCCCAGGGCCCAACACGGTGCCAGGCACACCGCCAGCACTAGATAAATACTGATGGGATGCATGGCTGGGCACTCCCTGTACGGCTTCAAGCAGAAGTCAGATACGACTGTGGCTAAGGAGAATACTGTATTTACCCTTAACAGATTAGTTTACAGGTGAGGAACTGAGGCCCAGCAGTTTAAACAATTCACAAGAGTATCAGAGCTAGGAAGTGGTAGTGTCAAGAGCAGAATTTAGAAACGCATGATTCTGTGGTCTATGCTCTTAACGCACATGCTACAGGGGTGGGCTTCTTTGTGAACATGTGAAACCCTGGGGGGCTTCCAGGGTCCCTTAGAGCGGGGCTCCTGCCGGAAGCCAAGGAACGACATTGTGCAGCTGGGCACAGCTAATGCGATTCCATATGTTCCTGAACAGGTTTGGGTGGGAACAGTAAAGCAATCCCTTCCCCCTCTCCCTTCCACCAGCACAACATACATATGTATGTATGTACATGTATATACACACCCACATATGTATACACACACATACACACTTCCTTCTTTCCACCCCTCTTCAAGTCAGGAAGAAATATCTAGATGGTCTTTCCTGTCCCATAGTAAAGATTATTAGACATGTCTTTGTCAATGAAAAAAATTTTTATAACAATCCTATCAGGATTTTACACTGAGTCCCCTTTAATGTAGATTATGAAATACCAACTTTTCCATAGTTGTTTACAGGTCTTAATTTAATGTCATCATTTTCCCCCATGCTATCAAACATGGGTATCATGCATATCAAATTTGATGTGGATATCAAATACATATCCATGATGCTACACATATTGAGAGAAAAAATAAGAACAACAAAAGTCTGAGGTGAATTACAGGCTCTCAGGAGTCGTAGCAGAGAACCTATCCTAACCTGCCAGCCCTCACGCCCTGGGCAGAACCGCTGGTCTTGGCCCTGGACTTCCCAGCCGTCTCTAAGGAAGGAGGGGGCTCTGGTAACTGTAGACCTCGCTTTTTTACTCAAACCTAAGTCCACCAATGCCACAAATATAACACTCTTTAAAATATACTTACTTTTTAAAATACACTTTTAAAATTTCATAAAGATATAGGAGCAATATGAGACACTGCGACTACAAATGCTTCTACCTTAAAACAAAGTGAAATATAAAATCTGACCTTTCATTTTTCTTCATGAAAACCCTTTCATTTATCCACTAGGTCTTTTTTTTTTTTCTTCTCTTGGACAGAGATGGAGAGATAACTTCAGATATGATATTTAAGTATTCAACCAATTTTCCTTTGCAGCATACAATATCAATCTAATTCAGTTTTTTGACACTATGACTAAGTAAACAAAAAGATTTCCTCATTTGATAAGTGAGGGGCCCTGAGGAGGTTAAATCAATTAATTATGTAATTGATAATGACAGGTGAAATTAGAATTCTGCAGTGGAGGGAGACCCAGAACCCCCGGGCTGGAATGCTCTTTATACCCAGCCCCACGTAACCCCCTTCTTTCCACAAATCCCTTCCACTGCTGGTCCCCAGCCACCTCTAGGACATCTTTAGCTTCGTGTCCTACTTACAGACCCTCAGCTGATCCTGGCACAATCGCCGACCCCCCGCCACGTCATTCTTATGAAACTCCTTTGGGCTTACCTCTCCGCTTATATCCCCAAATACTTCCGAACGTCACAAGGGCCGCATAACCAAAACCAACAAGGTCCATTGGCAAGGCTGCAAGTGTAAAGCAAAGGGGAAGGGACAAATTTTACAAAATAAAATGAGTTTTGGGGAGCAAATGCATGTAAACGTGGCATGCACTGCCCAGGATAAAAATGAATTTCTCTACTAAAAAAAGGGAAGCCAGACCTTCACCTGCGCACCGCTCATCTGCTGTGCTACCGTGCTCACCACGCTCAAGCACACTCAGGGGACACCCATTTTGATTCTCCTTTCCTTGTCTTCCAGACCGGCTATATGGTCAGCTGTTTACTTCCCTTCCACTTCCCCAAGTAAGATTTCTGCTCACCGGAGACAACGCCACAATCTTCGCTTTTCACTTTGTGCCTGGAATGTCTCCCCTCTCTCCCAACTACAAACCCCACCCACCCTCTACTCCTCACCCCACTTTTGACCACCTCCCAACCTCCTTAACCACTCTGGCCTGTACCATCCAACTGGTCTGGCGCAAACTACTCCGTGTCCTCTAAATTCCTTGACTGCAAAACACCACCTTATAATTATTTCATATTTGTGTGGATACTTGTCCCTGCATCCACCTCACAACAAAGAACAGAACAGGGGTAATCTGGACATTTGTGGACTGAACCACAGATTCAATTTAAACAACTGCTTTGTCACTGGTTTTGTTATGAGACGGCTCTTCCCTGGTGGCAGAGGCACGGACGCTTACTCAGGGGAAAATCACTAGAGAATATGACAAAGCCTGGGCACTAAGTTAATTGAACGACAATGATATTCTATTGTGCACCATTGCAGCAACTGAAACATATACCCAGGGGTGAGAGGTTCCACTGAAGTCCAGCCCCAGTTCTCTGAGCTACAGGACAAAGTGTGCTGCCTACAGGCTGGAGACAGGACCCTGGTCACCAGCTGGCTGTTGGTCCTTACATCCCACTCCATCCTTACCACCAGCTCCTCTAAGAGACCTTGCGGTCTCTTAGGTCTAAGAGACCTGTGTAACTTAGCTTTTTTACAGCTATATTTCCTCCATGGGGAAAATAATTATCTTTGTACATACTAGGAATGATGTATGAGATTTCATTGCATTTTTGGTTTTCTCACTGCTCGTCATTTGGGTTAACCCAATCTTCTATTTCCTGTAACAGCTGGTAACAAATTGACCCAGAAGAATGGAAAAAGGGTCCTGAGCTTATTTCAGAGTAAGCTAGCACTTATACTGTGAGGAAGGGCCTTGGGGGAGGGAATCTCAGGCAGAGGAGGAGATGACTGTACTGAAAACGAGGCTACACTGAAAATCTTCAACATCTGTAGGAGCAAGAATTAAAATAAGGGAGCTCATCTGTGCCCAAGAAGTGGTACAGTGAGACTAAAGGAAGGACCTGTGTTCAAAAACCTTTGTTAACGAAATGATAAAAAACAAATAATAATGAGGATAATGTTTATGAGCAATTACCATGTGCTAGGCGCCATTCTAAGGCCTTACATCTATCACCTCATTTAATTATAACTACAATGCCTATGAAGTAAGTACTACCATTACTATCTCCATTTTCCAGATGAGACTGAGGCACAGAGAAGGCAAGCAACACCTCTGGGGTCACACAGCAGAATCATGATTTCAGATACAGGGTAGTTCCATTCCTAACCACCAGCAATAGTATCTCTCATAACCGAATTTGCTGGCTGAAAAAAAGTGAATATGTAAGTGAAACTGATGTCCTTCAGAGTTTTAAATTCTGAATTAATCACTTCTGATTGGCTCCATAGCTTAAAGTTGTGAGCACATTGCCCAGTCTTCCACTTGGAGCCTTGTCATCTTCAGCCCTATGAGCATCTCCGGTTCAACCCTACTCACTATCTTTCTGAAAGAGTTCATCATAGTCCACAGTGTATGTTTGGCTTTACCTCTGATGCCACCACTTATTAGCTGTGTAACATTAGGCATGTTCTTTAATGTCTGTGTAATTCAGTACCTCTATCTGTAAAACAGGGATAATAAAAATATCTACCTCATAGAGTTGTGATAATTAAATGACTTAAAACACAACAGTGCTTGGCACATACTGAGCACTGAACAAATATTAGCTGCTCTAATAATGACTGTTCTTCTTGTTCACCCTTACGCCCACTTTTAAGTTTGATGTGTGTAAGGCCACTGAGGAAAAAAACTAGGGAAGGATGAATTCAGGCATTCAGTGAATCAAACCATAACATTACAACTTACATTTAACCATTATCTTCTTTGTGCAAAGCAGTGGGAAGCAAGCCCCTGGACAGGGCTCTGGTCTTCCAAGACGTACAGTACAGTTCAGTAGAGGAGACAGACATGTGAATGAGCCCTGAGAGGCATGGGCACCCAATGAGGCTTGGGGGCCTAAGGAAGGATTCCTAGAGGAAGCTGGGACCTCAGGCAGAATATGAGTAAGCCAAGTGAGAGGGATGCAAAAGGGGGCATGTTGTGGGCAGAAGGGAGAACATCTACAAAGGTCTACTGGCATGAAAAAGCATGTTTTCAAAATGAAAATAATTGCAAGGAGGCTGTGAAAAGAAATGGGGCTGCTGAAAAAGACAGGGCCTGAGCAGCTATGTGAGGGGGTCTGGTTTCTGTCCCAAGGACAGCGAGGAATGAATGAAGGGAGCCTTTCCATCAGATTTAATTCCCGCAAGCCCTTCGTGGTTGTAGATGTAGGAGATGTGTTGCAGTGCAGGGAAATAAGCTGAGAGGCTGTTGCAGTAAGAAAAACACCTGTATAGATCTGACACTTATGAGAGATCACTCATCATCAGACTGTAATTTGGGGACCTTATTTTCTTCTTAAGCCAACCACCTGGTGTGAAAGGCTGATTCTTCTCCAAGTCTCCCATTTCTTCCTCTGACACTCTTGAGGCGCTCTGGCATAGAGTTAGTTATAAGAGCTTATCTCTCCTTTCAGCCAGTCAAGTTCCTTGAAGGTAAAGCTCAGGTTAAATTCATCTTTGTCGTTCTCACAGGATCAAGCTCATTGACATGCATAGGCAGGTGCTTATTAAATACTTGCTGAATGAATGCGTGATGAGTGAACGTAGTAACTCCCGTCTGAAGACTCTGTGATACTGACCTAATGCCAAGAAACAGCCATTGCCTTAATCTCTCCTTAAGTGAACTGAGTGTTGTTCTTAGGAGGTAAAATAAACATATAATCCTTGCAAGAAGTTTCTGTACACACAGAGAAAATTCAGACAAAAAGCAATCACCTCTCTTGCTCCTTTGCTATGGCAGGAACATCTGAGCAACCCAGAAGCACACATGAAAAGTCAGAGGATGAGTTAACACGAATGGGATGCGGGTGGGGACGATGTGGGATACATCACAGGCTTCCATAACCAACCAGACGCTCAGAACTTAGGTCAGAAAGCATCATGGGTACAATGCAGCAAAATGACTTATTTCACCGTGTACAAAACCAGGTGGCAGGGCCCTGCCTTGTCCCTAGCCCTCCAAAACTTGGGGAACCCATTAACATTTTCCGTAAACTACCATATAAAAAGCATTTTTATACGTTGAGTATTAATAATTACCTATCTTTGCACTCCTTGGGGCACGACAGACACATTTTCGAGTGAAGTATGGGTGGTGTAGGAAGGATAAAGCCCTGCCAAGCATTTTTTCAATGATCCACTAGCCCCACTATCCCCACCTCTCCCTAGCTCCAAGAAGACAGGAGTGGGGGGACAGGTGGTAGATTCAGGGCCGAGGGAAGGGAGAAATCTGGGAAAGTCCTAGGAGGATGAGAGAAGCGATCCCTAGGAGAGGAGACCTCATCTCCTAAAAAAACACCTACCAAGGTTCGCTGTATGGTTGGTTCTCTGCTTATTTCTGCACCTTTACTGTAAAATTCAGAGCAAGGAGTACTCGACTGCAAGGTTTACAACTCACCTGCAGCCCCGAGCCCTCCTCGCAGGAGCCAGCTGCGGGCAAACTTCTACCTGAAGTCCGGAAGTGGTGCAGCTAGCCTGCGCCCCACCGTCCTGGCACCGGACTGCTGCGGAGGGTTCCGGGCGGCGCCTTCCCTGCGGTGCGCATGCGCGGCGTTCTGGACTCTCCGTGAATAGCTGCGGCGAGCGGACCCGCCAGGCGGAGAGGAGGCGTGCATCCGGTAGGCTCGGTCGAGCGCTGGCGCAGCGGCTTCCAGGGAGGCGGATGGGTTTGGCCTCTTGTCCCGTCTGCCCGCTTTTGCTCTGGCTTAGAGCGGGGCGTGGGGGTGGGGGTGGGGGTGGGGGTGGAGTTGGGGGGCGGGGCTGGGGGCTCCGGGCTGGGGGCTCCTGCCTGCTGCCTCCTGCCTGCTGCCTCCTGCGGGATGGAGCGAAACTAAGAAGCGTTCTCAGGGTGTGGGTCTGGGTGTAGCAGGAATATCAGAGATTTTTAACTCCGAAGTTCATTCATCATTCCAGGGTCATTTGTGTCTGGAACATCCCAGGTCTTTTACATACTCTCCAGCATATAGTTTCCATTTTCAGTGGAGGGAGCTCCAGTCTCCATGGGGTGCTAAGGTAGAGCCCACATTTGTCAGATTTCAAAGCTCAAGCCCCGTTCATGGACACACTCTGTATTGGGTCATCCAGATGTCGAGGGGAGGCCAGGATCCATTTTATAATCCAAGCCGAGGATCAGCAGAGCTTAGTATCTGAACTAAAAGGTATGTATTGAGTACCAGAATTGGAAGGCACTTAAAATCTGTCTAACCCCTGGATAATCCATTCCCAGAAAGAACCTTAATTTGACTTTGGAGAGAACTCATCTCACTTCAGCGTTGCCTTCTAGGCCACTTCCTTATATAATAGCCCTTCAGATACAAGAAGAAGGCTGTTATGTAGGAGTCAACAAGCAGCTCTAGGAGTCCTGTGGAACTGGGAATAATAGAATTTCTTTTTTTGAAATAAGAACTACTGATGTACATTAAGTCCTGTGAAATTTGTTGAATCTATTCCATGTGCTTCAAAGTCTGAGCAGGAATGTGGCTAACTTATGAAAATTCTAAGTTGGTCCTAGGAAATTAAGATTCCTGAAAATTCACAGGAGTTGATGGCAGGCACTGGGATGTGCATTGGAAGAAGTATCCTGAAATCTGGCCCAGAGGTCCTTTCCATCCCCTTCTGTTCCCATCTTCTCTCTCTCCCCCTTTCCCTCCCCCACCCCTTACCTCTGCAGACTCCCAGGACACTTACCCTATTCAGAATAAAGTTAAGACCCTCTTGGAAGGCACCATTATCTTTAACTGATGTGTACCTTAGTAAATAACTTCCCTCTGAACCTCAGTGCCTGGATTTAAGACGCTGCTCAGATTAGATACTCTCTGAGACCCCTTCCACCCCTGTCACAAAGGTATTTGAAGGTAAAAATAGCTTCATGATATTGCTACTCAGTGTATTTTCACCCAACATAGAAGACAACTCTTTGCATATTATGGAAATAGTATGGAAATTCCATACTATTGGAAACAGGAAGGTCCCTAGGCAAAGGGCCCATTGTCCTGTCAATTCATACGCCACCAGCTACCACCCACTGCAGATAATGGTAAGGTCAGCATGAGGAAGGGGTGCAGCAAAGTCTTCCTGTAGCTATCTGTAAAGCTCTCTATTCCTGATTCACAGCACACACTGTAACTCCCAATGTGCCATCAACCCCTTTGGCAGTCTAGAGAAAGGGTCCTTGATTCTTCTCTTCCTCCAGATAGATCCCATATGGCTACTTATTATTTAGGCCTATGCTCACCAGTAAAAGAAATTTTGAACGAGCATCCCAATATATGTACAATGTTTATATTTGTAAAGATCTTATTTATTTATTTCTAGAGAGAGGGGAAGGGAGGGAGAAAGAAAGGGAGAGAAACACCAAAGCGTGGTTGTCTCCCGTGTGCCCCCTACTGGGGACCCAGCCCACAACCCAGGAATGCACCCCAACCGGGAATCAAACCAGCGAACCCCTGCTTTGCAGTCCAGCGCTCAATTCACTGAGCCACACCAGCCAGGGCTATAATATTTATTTCTAAATTACACATATAACATTATGCTAATATGCTATGGATATTTTAAATACGAATATATAAATCAAATAAGATGTTTAAGACTTTAAAAGGGGAATATAAAAATAATAGGACTAATTAGATATTTCCTGTATTTAATAAAAAGTGACATATTTCTTCCCACATAGAAGAATATTTTTATTCTTTCTGTCCCCTTTTCCAATAATACTTTTCTGAACTGCCTGCAGACTTTAGGGCATCCTTCTTTTCCTTTCTGTAGGGGTAAAACTGAACACAGTCCAACGTAAAATTCACTCCAAGCTGCAGCTCCGCTCTCCTCAAGCCCACATTATACTGATTTCTAGTGTCAGTCAAATCTGATGACACAGTATCTTCTCAACAAAAATGTTTGAGCATGGACCACTTAGGAATTTACTTACCTGCAACAGCAAGTTTTTACATTTGTAGAAATTCATTTTCCTTTTTCCAGAAATGCCCACCCACTTTGAATCCACAGGCACGTTCAGAAAGACCAGCTGGTTGTCAGTCAGGCCCTTGGCATCCATGAACTCATCATGCAGATTACCTATGTCTACAACAGCTGTCAGTTTCAAGTCCTCTGAAGCACACTGGGTGTCATCATAATTTAAACATTTCCCTCTTAGGGAAAATGGCCTTAACCACAGAAGTCATCATTTGAACTGTGCTTAAAGTTGGATTCCAAATAAGTTACAGTTCTAGTAAAGTAATTAAAAAGTCTTGTTTAATTCGGCTGCCCTTAACTGTTGACACTTTTTTTCAGTTCAGAAGCAGTCTTACTTCCAAAAAATGAGCCATTTTTCCACCGTATGAGTTCTTACCTCAACCTACACAAAATACCCAACCGCTCAGGTGCAGTCAGTCCATCTTTTCTAAGCTCTTTCTCACCTCTGAAGACCACCAGACAGTTTGGGAGAAACAGCATATACACCTCTGTTTCACTGTAGCCCTTTTCTCCATTCTCATCCTTCATATACTTCCAAATCAAAGAGGGACATTCCTCTTGTTCCACACTTGGAAAATATGGTTTTATGGTGGGCCAACATTTTAGTACCTTTTCTATGGCTGGGAGCAATGACACCCACCTTACATGCACGTGTCTAAAGAGGTTATCTCCTCCCACTTCTATAAAGCCAGAAACTCATTAAGTGCTTCTATACATTTTGAGGAACTGAAAAGTGACCCAAAGCTTTCATTATGAAAGTTTCGATGTCATAGTTAAGCAAATCACAGCTCTTTGTAGCAGTGCTGTATACAAGGAGTGCAGGACATTGGGTAGGTAAGGTCTTTTCACTATCTTTGTTAGGGAGTTTATAGACAGCATAAAATTTGTCAAATTTTTCATTTGCATTGTCTGATGAATAAGCAGATAGATGAGTAAGTCTACTTTGTATTTGGAGAAAATATCAACAATCTTTTGCTTTCTTATTTCAGCTGTTTCATTAAAATGCCTCATAGATATCAAGAAGATGATTTGAAACTCTATTTCTCAAGTCGAAGTGCCTAAGAGTTAGATGGAACATTTTTTTTTTTTGCTGCCATGATTCAGCTCATTGCTTGAAGCCGATGTGCTGTAGAGCACATGACTGTTGGTAATAAATGACGAAATCAGCTCTCCACTGTAAGGAGCCAATGCATCTGTTATCAAAATTTCCCCTTTTGTTTGCCCACAGGGTGTTTTAGCTTCAACCTCTGAATCAGGAAAATTTCCTTGACTCAGTTTCATAGCACAGTCAAGAGAATGACCTGATAATGCATGTTCATTTGTGTGGAATGCCCCAGCTAATGGAGCAGTTGCTATTTTTGACTGAACACTGGCATCTTTGGGGGCCATGAAAACACCTTTGATTGGTTTAGAGGCACGTGCCTGTCTCATCCTGGACTTGTGAGATACAGTCTCCATATGTGCCTCCAGATCCCCTTTCCCACTGCTCCCAGTTCAAAATTTTTTCTGCATATTGTTCAGTATGCTCTGGATTGGTACCTAATCCAGTTGTAGGTATCCTTCCTCTTGTCATTAAATTAACAGTCGTTTAGCCTTCTTTTCCAGTGATGGGGGTCATGCTTGCTTTGATATTATAATCATTCTCATTTTCATTACCTGACCATTTAGAAAACGTGGTCACAATACTCACACTGTTCAAAAATTAAACTAGGGCTATCCTAATACAAAGCACGACAGTTAATCCACAGGCTAAGTCAAAGATGACCTTTTAATATTCATAATTACGGCACGCCTACATCGCATCACTCTGAGTGATGCAACGACGAACAGGTAAACCACAACTGTGGATGGTCCCAACATCGGTGGTCTGGGGAAAAGTGGGTGACAGCCACCACAGGAGGTGCACAATCTATGTCACATCCATTGGACACTAAAGACAGCATTGCTTTCAGCCCCTCTTTGTTGGACCCCTGTATGGGACCCTTGTACTTTTCTTCCAACCTTCCATTCATTGCCAAAAAACCAGGACCTTTTTCACATTCCAGGGAAGGGTTTGCCTGGATACTTTCAATGGTAAAATTGGGATGACTGGTTACGCTACTATGTTCCCCACTACTCCCAGGGCTAGCTCTGCAGAGGCAGGAGGAGAGGCACATGGAACCGGAGACTCCTTGCCTTGCTACCACTGATGGTACAGAACTTTTTCAGGACATTTCTTGTTGGGAACCACTTTGTGTGGTATCAGAGACTGTAGCCCCGAGCAAGCTAGGCCTTGAGAGAGGCCTGTAAGACTTGACTGGAAAGCCAGGAACGCAGGAAGCAGGCATGACCCGATGCTACCACCAACGGTTCCCCTGGGAAATCAGGCCTGATGAGTGCATTGTACCCTCTGAAGCTTGCTTTGCTTTTTATAGCCCTGTTGGAGTAAACCAGTTGTTTAAATTCAAAGCATAAGGGAACAAAATTCTAATCTCATGAACCATGCCTTAACGACCCTCAGCATGTCTAACAGATGGTGACCTGAGGCAGATCTCTGTGTTCCTTCAAATGTTATCTATAATGTCTGTTTTGTGTAACT